CTAAACCCCTAAACCCTAATTAGGGTTTAGGGTACGGGAGCTGCAGGTTGGCTACAACTCGACGACCGCCCTAACTGAGGTTATGCTGCTTGTACCTGAAGCGGAAAAGACCTACCCTTTTAGGGTTCCTTACTATGATTTCTATATATATATATATAAGGTTTAGGGTTTAGGGTTTAGGGTAAAAATATATATATATATATATACATATATATATATATATAGTCCCTTAAAAAATAGGTTTTTTGGGCCACACGTGGTTTAGGTTGAGTGCCCGGCCCCCTGAATCTTAAACCCAAGGTCTCGCCTGGTGGATTGATGAACGTCCTTTCTTGCAGGGCCCTCGTACCCTAAACTCCTCAAACCCCGATCTTGGGGGAGGTCGGAATTATTGAGAATAGGATTTTGGGGTATATTGTATTATTAACATGACGGTTACAATAAGGGATCCCAGTATTTAGGCCCTTATAGTAGACCTGATGCTAGGCCATCGTGTGATGACAATCTTGCTCAGACACTAAACAAAGTAGTACTCATGCTCACACTACAAGCAGTAAACGCTGAGCCTACAGACTGTGACGAGACGAATACGACGGCTTGCCTGAGAGTAAATTTATAGCCGGTTCTATTCTGAGTTATAAACACAACAACATGTTACAGAGCACAAAAAATATTCAATTTCTTTGACATCACGACTCTCTCCGCACATATATACATATATGTGTATACATATATAACTACGACTACGAAGAGCCCAAAGGCTGACCCTGGCCTGACTGTTGCACTCATGCGCGGGTCACCACGAAACTGCGTTTGGCGATTGAGACCTCAGTGCTCTTTTTGGGGTACACGAAAGGTACCCTTGCATTCCATATTCAGGTCTTATGGTTGGCCTAATCCGTCTTCGTGTCGGCCAAAGGAAGAGAGTCCTAGACCCTATAGAAGCCTATCCAACCCTTATATTTCTTGTGCAAGACCTTTAAACAAGCTTAACCCCTGTGAAACTGCGTAACACACTCTTAACAAGGCTGTATCCGTTGAACAAAGCCACGCTTTGAGGCCAAGACCAGGGTCCTCTGATTTCAAAGGTGATGGGCTGCGGCGACTCCCACCTCTTCTTCTTGGCATGAAATGGGGGTTTCCGAAAATAGGGGACCCTCATATAGTACCCTAAATAGTAGGATCCTTATTATAAGGACCCCAAAATACGATACCCTAATTTTCGGAAACTTCCAAATGCTGTTAAGGGCCCTTTTTACTGTCGTGAGTGTTCAATGGGTCTTGGAGTTTGGGGTTTAGAGCTTTAGGGGTAGGAATTTAGAGTCTAGAGTGTTCTCGTCTTCGGTTTAGAGTTTAAGTTTATAGATTTTAGAAGACCTTATCATTGTGGAGTCCTGACATCTATTTGCGGGGCTTGGGGCTACAGGTAGGGTTTAATATGGAGATGTATTGATGAACCTTGATCTGAAGCATAGTTTGTTGCAGACATTGTAGCAGGGTATATACTAAAATGTTCAGGTTGTTCGTATTTTTTGTGGGTACTGGGAGTCAGGAGCCAGGCTTTACGAATGGTTTACGTATACCAATTGCGGCTTTTTGGGGTACTAGTGTGCCTCCTGCGGCTCGGTTGGGACTCGCTTCCACGAGGGGGTCCTCTTGGATAGCTGCAGCAGCGGTGATTCCTTCATCGACTCTTTGGAGCATCGACCTCATTCGCATCTCCGTCTGATCCGTGCGCTCCTTCATCGAGGTGGCGCTGAAGGATAAGCCCTGATCAATACGTCCGATCACCTTTTTCACCTAGGTTCCCCAGTAGCCCCTACAAAATAAGGGTACCTTGTTCCTCTATTTGGATTTCTTATTAAGGGAACCCAAAAAGAAAAAGGGCAAAAGGGTACTACTGGGGAACCTACACTACTACATCCGGGGCCCATTATATACTATAACTATATTAAGGACCCCCCCCCAAAAATTCTATAGGTAACTAAAAAGGGTACTATACTGGCGAACCTAGTCACCATGCTCTCCAGGGAGTTGGAGAGTGCCGTCATGCTGGCCTCGCGATTGCGCTGCTCGCGCTTCAACCTGAGGTCACGTAACCCAAAAGGTTAGGTTAGGGTTTAGGGTTTAGGGCTTAGGGGCTTATATGGTAGATACTTTGGGGCCCAAAATATCTACTATATGGGTACTTAGACCCTTTGGGATGTAAAGTATCGCAATCAAGTTATCACAGCAGGGAATAGATCATGCCATGGCGCACCGCTTAACAATAATTTCCATATACATCTTCAGAACTCAAAACCAAGTTGACCCAAAAAACACAACACTCTATCGAATAACGCCCCCGGGGTTTATACCATAGGACTCCTTCAACAAAAAACCCGTAAAAGTTTTCCCAGAAGATCCGGAAATCCTTAAACCATAAGTTCCCTCAAATGAATCAAGGGCCCAGCAACTGCTCTTCCATGGACGAGAGTCGAGCTTCTTGTAGTTCCCGTAGATGCCTTTCCTGAGCTGCTCTCTTTTTTGTAATCTTGTTACCCTAAGGCTCCATGTACCTGTATAGTATCTACTCACCCATTAAAGGGGTTCCTACAGAGGCACTTATCAAGGCCTAAATATATACTATATCGGCACGCAGAGCCGTAGGATAAGTTACGGGTTCATCAACATCCTAAACCCTAAACCCCTAAACCCTAAACCCTAAACCCCTGAACCTTAGATTGTCAACTTTAGCCTTGAGCCAGAAAATAAAAAGCCCTAAACCCAAGGTTGACAAGTCGACACCTTAGAGCAGA